CAGAGAGGGGTGCTGGACCCGAAAAACGGCCAGATCCCGGTGTAGTGCCTCGTCAAAGAGAGTGGGGCTGTTTTTAAACCCTTGGGGTAGCCTTGTCCAGGTCAGCTGACCGGAGATTCCCCGAGCTGGGTCTCTCCATTCAAAGGCAAATAACAACTGGCTGTTGGGGTGTAGCCTCAAGCAAAAGAAGGCATCCTTGAGGTCCAGGACTGTATACCAGACGTGGGTAGGCGATAGCCCACTAAGGAGGTTGTAGGGGTTGGGCACTGTGGGGTGTAGATCTTCAACCCGTTTATTAACCTCTCGGAGGTCCTGGACTGGTCTGTAGTCCCCCGTTCCTGGTTTTCTGACGGGTAATAGAGGGGTGTTCCAGGGGGACTTACAGGGTACGAGGATCCCTTGATCCAACAGTCTATTGATGTGAGGAGCTATGCCTTCTCTGGCTTCCTTGGACATTGGGTACTGCTTTACGGCGATTGGGATGGCGTTCGCTTTCAGGGACACAATTATGGGTGGCTGGCTATCGGCGAGACCCATGCCCCCGGTCTCTGCCCATGCTTGGGGGTACTTGAGTAGCCATCCCTCCATATCGGTTGGGGCCTTTTTGCTTTGTTCATGTAGTCTATACTCATCTTCTATGGACAAGGTGAGCACATGCAACGGCCTTCCCGACGGGTCAGTGATGCTGACCCCAGTCTTATCAAAATGTATCTGAGCCTTTAGTTTAGTTAATAAGTCCCTACCCAGCAATGGGTATGGACAGTCTGGGACATGGAGGAAGGAGTGGGTTACCTTGCCAGTCGCTAGTTGCACTTGCCGGTCGGTGGTCCAGCGGTAGGTCTTTCCTCCTGTGGCTCCCTGGACCCAGGCCGTGCGGCCGCTCAACGTGCCAGGAGACCTGGTCAAAACGGAGTGCTGTGCCCCTGTATCCACCAGGAAGGTGACGGGGTGCCCCCCTACGTGTAGGGTTAGCCGCGGCTCAGGGGGGGGCTCCTGGCCTCGACTCCCCTAGTCTTCTAGGTTTAGGAGAGAAGCTGAGGCCTGGGGTCTTGTATTTCTGTTCCGACTTTGCTTCTTTGGGCACTCCCGAGCCCAGTGGCCCCGTTCTTTGCAGTAGGCACACTGATCTTTATCTACCCTGGGTCCTCTTCGATCTCCTCCTTGTCTATCCTGCCGCTGTCTCTGTCCTGACACTACAGTGGCCATCAACCGTGAAAGCTCCCTCTGTCTCCTTTTATCCCTGGCATTTTCTCTCTCTTTCATTTCCTTTTGCTGCCTTTCCTTTCTCTCAATGTTTTCTCTCCTCCAACGCTCTTCTCTCTCTTCCTGGCTCTCTCTATTATTGAATACCTTCTCTGCCTCCTTTAGCAAATCAGGGACCGTATATCCCTGTAAATTGTCCAGCCTCTGTAACTTATTACGGATATCTGGGGCGGACTGCCAGATAAACGCCATGGCAAGACCAGTGGCTTGTCCTGGGTCCTCCGGATCGTAAGGCGTATACATGCGGTATGCCTCCTTCAATCTCTCAAGGAACGCGGCGGGCGTTTCCTCTGCTCGCTGCAAAACCTGTTTTACCTGAGCCAAATTGGTGGGGCGCCGAGCTGCCCCCCGGAGACCTGCTATGAGCAACTGGCGGTAGAGACGAAGATGAGTCCTACCTGCCTCAGTACTAAAATCCCATTCCGGCCTGGTTAAGGGAAAGGCTGCATCGATCTCATTAGGGAGCTGGGTAGGCTGTCCGTCCGCTCCCCTCACATTCTTCCGCGCCTCGAGGAGGACCCGCTGCTTCTCCTCAGTAGTCAGTAGCACCTGTAAAAGCTGTTGGCAATCGTCCCAGGTGGGTTGATGAGTCACTAGGACTGATTCTAAAAGGGAGATCAATTGCAAGGGATCTTTAGAAAAAGGAGGATTATTGTTTTTCCAATTATAGAGATCGGAGGCGGAGAACGGCCAGTACTGCAGCTGGCCGTCCGGGCCGGTACGCAGAGGCATGGCGGTGGAGTCCGCAGGGGCCTGTTCCCGCCGCCCCCTGAGGCGGCTTGCCACAGGTGAGGGGGCTGCCTCATCAGTCGCAGCGGGGCGTTCGGCAGGCATGGCCTCTGCCTCATTAGCCGCCTCGTGGGGTGCCTCTTGATATGGAGGCGGCTCCGACAGGAGATCCATAAGCAGAGTCTCTTCCCCTGCAGGCAGGACCTTAGGTTTGGGGAGGGGGGGCGCCTTAGGAGAGGCTTGCACAAGAGCTGGGTATAGGGCGGATCGGGAGTGGGTAGGGGCTGGGAGTGGAGTCAGGGGAGGAGGGAGAGAGGGTGCGGATGGTTTGGCAGACTTGGGGGAGGGAGGGACCACTCCAGAGAGAAACGGCTTGACCCATGCAGGCGGTTTCTGAACCAGAGCTTCCCAGGTGATGATGTAGTCCACCTGGTCAGGGTGTCCATGTGGCCCCGAGTCCATGACTTTTTCTTTTACCTGCCTAATGATGTCTAGGCTAAATGTGCCATCCCGCGGCCACCCGACGTCAAAGGTGGGCCATTCGGAGGCACAGAAAGCTACCCATTTCTTTTTGTGCACTTCAGCGGACTGGTTATGCGCATATTTCTGAATTTCTTTCCAGTGTTTGAGACTGAGGGACAAAGGGGTGGTAATTGCTTGTCCCATTTCTTCCGAAAGGATGAAGACACAAATACCAGTTACAAGAAACAAACACAGAGACAGACAAAGAAGTCGCGCGGCGCGGCTCGGCGCAAGACCGAAAGCAAACTCTCAGATGGGAGGGCAACCTGCCTCTCTCCCTCCCTCAGTAGGGCTGAAAATCCCTCCCCTTGAGGGACGGCTCCAAACAGGACGGAAAAATGCCTGGGCATAGACCGTGAGAGCCAAAAATCAGACGCTCCTGGGACGTCTCCCGGAGCCTCAGGGGGGTTTACGAACCCGTCGTCCCCCCCCTACTGCCAATTACAGATGTACACAGCTGAGTACTACGGACGCAGGCGCGGTTTCAGAGACACATACGATCGGGCAGGCAGACACTGGAGGACACAAGACACCAGACAAACAGCGGATCCGCACAGTCAGCTTACCTCCCAGTGGTGGGTCGGTGGTCCCTGGGCGGGGGTCTTCATCCCGGACGAGCCCCCAAATGAAAGACCCCGTACTAGGGATACTTTCAATCTGAGAGACCCCCCCAAGGACCAGCGAGGCCACACGTATGGATGCAATCAGCAAGAGGTTTTATTGATCACACATACGGGTACCCGGGCGTCTTGGTCTCGGGAACCAAGCGCGCCCAGATGGGGAACGGGGGTGCCTTATATAGCGAAAAGCGTGGGTACAAAAGCGGATGCATGGTCACAGGATTTTTGTTGGTCAAATTTAATGGGGCGAGAGATTTAGACTGGGGCCACCTGGCTTGAATACAAGGAAGTCGCAGGAGGTTGACTTAGCTTTCATCTCGGGCGCATTGTGGATGGGAAACTCCCCAGTGTTAACTCCCCAGTTCTGGATGGCCGACCACTAATATCCTGTTTGTCAAGCCCTCGAGGCGCCAGGGGCCCTCGACCTTAGCGTGAACTCAGACAGTTCCTGGTGGGCTATGTCGGGAGGGGGCCAGGGGCCCTCGACCTTAGTGTGAACTCAGACAGCTCCTGTTGGGCTATGTCGGGAGGGGGTCTTTCAATCCTACCCTCTGACAGAAATGACAGCCTCTGGGAGTGCCCACCACACGCTTGGGCTGAGCCCTGCGTACTAGAAAAGAAAACTGCCCACCTTATCTCTGGCTCCTGGCAGAGGCCAGCTCGGAAAAGGCAGGCAAGAAGAGGAGAGGGCAGGGTAAGGGTAAGCCTACTTGTGCAGGGATAAAAGAGGCAGACTGCCAGTTGGGCGTTGGCAGTGCACGCCTTTAATCCCAGCAGAAGCAGGCAGATCTCTGTGAGTTTGAGGCCAGCCTGGTCTACAAAGCGAGTTCCAAGACAGCCTCCAAAACAATACAGAGAAACCCTGTCTCGGAAAACTAAAAAGAAAAAAGAAAAATAAAGAGGCAGACTGCCAAGGGGAGGTGAGTATCTGACAGGATCAGCCAGCCTGAGCCTTGAAAACAGGGCTCATACCACTTATAGATTCTCCTGCATGCAAAGAAGCCTCTTCCCAGGATTCCCTGTCCCTCAAGCAACTCCACCCCAGCACCCGAGTGTAGTAGCCACAGGATCAGAGAGCAGGCAGTGACCAGAGACCAGAACATAAGGGGATTTTCCTTTAAAAACAAGAAGCCCACATAAGCTGGGAGCCAGAACATATGGTATCAGGATGAAAGAGGGCTTCAACAGCCTCTCTACACTGAGGACGGACACACACACGGTACATAGCCAAAAATGGTCTCAAGCCCTGGCCACTGGACTACGGAGGAAACTGAAGACTGAGCGCCATGCAGACTCAAGGCCACCATCCGTGCCGAAAACTTAGGCACCCCAGGAAGGTGCCAGCGGTCCTCAGACCATAGATGGGTCTCCTCTGCAGACAGTGAGGGCGGTCGGGTGGGTCCGCTGGCACAGCCGGAAGCTCAACCTCTCAGCTCTTAACAAACAGCCTGGAGGGCAAGTGGTCAGGCATGGCCCACACCACGAGTCCGCGGTCCATAATGACCGTTCTCCGCAGGTTGCCCCGCACACTGCGTCTGAACAAGAGAACAGGACACCGGCGCCGTGCAGTCACCGACCTTGCTGTGTTTAACGCCCCGTGGCCTCGCCAAACCCACAACCGACAGATGCTAACTAACCTCCTCTCTAGGACCCGGGGGAACGCCAGAGCGGGACACACCTCGCTAGCCAATGGGAGGGCTCAGCGAAGTTTTATTTGCATATAGGTGCGTTGCGGCCAATGGACAAGGACCGCGGAACTATATTTGCATACGGCCGCGCCCGGGCCAATGGGCGAGAGCGACGGAGTGACATTTGCATGCAGGCGCGCCGCGGCCAATGGGCAGCAGCGCGGCGGCGCGGCGCGGCGGCGCACTCGAGCATGGCCGCGGCCGCGGCGGGAGGAGCCCCGGGACCGGCCCCCGGCTCCGCCAGGCCGGCACCGACCGCCCGGAACCCGCCGTCCGTGCCGCGGAGGCGCGGGGACTCCCGGCGCCGCCAGGCCGCTCTCTTCTTCCTCAATAACATCTCCCTGGACGGACGGCCCCCGAGCCTGGGTCCCGGCGGGGAGAAGCCCCCGCCGCCGCCACCACCGCCCACCGAGGCCCGCGAGCCGCCCGCGCCGCCGCCGCCCGCTCCACCCGGAGGCCTCCCGGGGCTGCCAGCCAGGCCCGCGCCCCAGGGCCTACTCAGCCCCACGACGGCACCCGCCGGCCTCAACCTGGACGGGCAGCGCCAGAGGTGAGTGGGCTGGGCGGGGCGGGCTGCACACGCTGGGGTTGGGGTGGCCTAGAGGCCCAGCCGGCACACCCGGTGTGTGACCTGTGGGCTTGGCAGCCCAGGCACAGGTTGGTAGTGAGCCGAATCCTTCCTCCCTGCTCACCGGGTGGTTGACCTGTGGGCTCGGCACAGCACAGGGCACAAGGGTTCCGGTAAGCCAAGGGCTCGGCCGACCTGGACATGATTGGGCTGGGGTGGATCCGCTCACCCAGCACACAGGTGTGAGGTCACCTGGGCTCCATCAGCTACCACTCAGAGGCACTCAGAGGTCTGGGTGATCGGGGCTGGTTAGCCCAGGACATAAGGGTTAGTTAGGGTGGCCTGAGCCCACCAGCCGAGGGGTGGCCCCATCATCATCCCAGTACTTCAGGGCCCATCGCCCCGGCATGCATGAGTCAGAGCGCCTTGTAGTCCCGTCTGCCCTTGACTTGGGCTGAGATGACCTGGCAGCATCAGACCAGAATACAGGGGACAAATGTGGGGCTTAACTGGAGCCTTGTCAGCCCGTGTCACAGAGTTGCAGTGTCCTGAAGGTTGTCAGCCTCTCCAGGTCCAGGGAGTACTTCCGTTAAAGCCGTCAGCTCCTGGGTATGGGGGTCAGTTCTTCCCCTCCAGAGTCCCCTCAGCCTAACTGACTATAGACACACCCCTCCCCGTCCATTCTGTCAGTGCCCTGAGCACTGGGACTCACAAACACCACCCCCCCCCCCGTTTTTTGTTTTTTTTTTTATGCGCTGTGTGTCAGCCTCAAGCTTGTGGGCCAGGGTCTGTTCTCAGACCTCCCTCCTCCGTCATCCCATAGCTGCTAGTCAGAGGGCCTGTCACACTGGCATTCTGCACTTCTTCCCCTGCCTGGGTCACTTCTAGGGACCTCCTTCCCCCTCAGTCTAACCACTGCCCCGCCCCACCCCCAGAGTCCACAGCTACCGGGTACCGAGTGGGTCTCAGCCTTCTCAGCTCCCTCTGACAGCCTGAGTCTTCACCCGAACGGCGACAATAGCAGGCAGCTCCAGCCACTGTTGGTCCCTTCTGGGCAGGCCCCACTACTGTAGGGCAGAGCTCCTGCCCGGCGGCTCCCAGGTGTAGGGAGCCCTGGGCAAGCCTAGCGTGGGTAAGCTGTAGGCTCCACAGTGATGATGTGCCTCCCATGTCTGTGATGGGGAGAAGGTTCCCTGACAGCTGACCCTGCGTCACATGTCTGTGTGGCCAGGAAGGCCTGAACTTTCTGTGGTCACCACCTTTAGCCTGCAGGCTGTGGCCAGGCCATGCGTCTCCACGGGACATAGAAGGATCCACTTGGGGACAAGGGTCAGAGTGATAGCTGGATCCTTGTGAGGGGCAGATGTGAAGATCAGTCTGAAGTTGGCATGGCTGAGGCCCCCTTTGCTAGCTCCTCCAGCGAGCCGTCTCCTACCTCCTAGTTCTGCTTTCCACTTCATTCTGACAGCCTCGCTAGCGCCCACAACTACGGCCGCCTGTGGCAGGCGTCTTTTCTCGTTGGGCTCTGCTTTCAAGTTCTTGGCACCACCCTAGACTTGTTATCCTTCCTCTCATGGACACAGGCCCTTAGGAAGAGGAATGTCTACCCCATCTCAGCTCCCGTCCTGTGGCTAGGAGAGACAGTAGCGGCTGGCCTGTTAAATGGGGCTGCCGACTCCCAAATTTAGTGCCCTGGTCTGTTTGGGCTTTTTTGTTTTTGTTGTTTTATTTGTTTTGTTCTGTCTGCGTGTATGTCTGTGTGAGGGTGTCGAATCCTCTGCAACTGGAGCTACAGACAGTAGTGAGTTGCCCTGTGGGTGCTGGAAACCAAACCCAGGTCCTCTGGAAGAGCAGCTGGTGCTCTTCTCTGCCGAGCCATCTCTCTGCCTGATCTGTTGTTTTTTTCAGATGCAAAACCCTAGAGTTCCTGAAGGCTGTGTCACAATGAGTACAGACCAGCTTTCTGCCATCCAAGGCTCTTGGAACCTCAGTCTCCCCCTCTGCAATGGGCTGACATGAAGCCTTCCTCCTTGAGGTCCCAGGATCCTAAGGACTCAGGAAAGTGACAACTGTTACAACTTGGGGCTCCCAACAGTGTTTCTAGCTAGTGACAGAATCACCGCTGATTTTCTGCATGGGCCTTTAGGCACTGTTTATTGTCTTTTTTCCTGCATGCCTGGGAGTAAGCTCATCTCTAGAATCTATGGTCCTGTTTGAAGCATGCATTCCAGCTACCTCATCTGCTGCTGCCTTCTGCCTAGAATGCCATGGTGACAAAGGACACAAACCTGGTAGCTCTTCCCCTGGCTCGGGTGCCAGTCACTGGGGATCAGGCCTGGGGGTGCTTCTACAGGCCTGGGGTGCCCTGTGTGTTGTGTTGTTCTATCTCCTTGCTCCCGTGTGTGTCCTCACAGACTTTTCCTGACCTCATTTTGCCTTGGCCCCTTCTTAGACTGTCTCTAGCTAAGGCCCCTAACACAGGCGAGGCTTTTGATGGATCTTTGTGGGGAATCAACTCACAACAGCCCTGCATAGATTGCAGCCTAATGCTCCCACCATCAGACAACTGGGCATAGCCTAAAAGCAGGCGGCTGTGCTCTGCTTTGATCTAGAAGAGGAGTCTAGGCCAGCCCTAACTAGCCACTGAGCCATTTAGACAGCCCCTGAGCCCCTTAGTATCCGTGAATTAGTCTGTGCCCAGCATCTGTTCACTGGTGGGGCCAAAACCCGCTGGAGTAGTCAGTTCTCCAGGACAGCCAGGCACCGCCCCTGCCCGGCTCCTTCTCTGGGAAGCTGCTAGATCACAGGCCCCTGCATGGAGTGCTGGGACCGGGTGCCTTTGCTTTGCCTAAGACTAAGTGAGACTCACCAGGAGACCCCGGGTACTTTGCTTATTTGTTTGTTTTTAGCACATATGGTTCTGCGATGAGCCAAAATGATGTTCAGGCAGGGGGAGGAGAGCCCTGAAGAGCGATGAGACTGCTGCCCCCTGTGCTCCCTTAGCAGGGGAGGCTCCCGGGCCCTGGGCGTGCTGCAAGTACTGCCTGGCCTCCTTGCTGGGGCCCTGCAGCCTGTCGTGTGTGTGTGTGTGTGTGTGTGTGTGTGTGTGTGTGTGTGTGTGTGTGTGTGTGTGTGTGTGTGGCAGGTGGCTCCTGAGTCTGCCCCAAGCCTGCAGAGACCATTTACTCTCCCTGGGTCCCTAATAGGAACAGACCTCAGCCACAGGGAGGTGGCCCTGCCTAGACCTTTCCCCATCTCCCAAGCCACCAAATAAGGAAGCCCATCGCATGCCGGAAGATGGTTTTAAGGTTTCAGGTACCGACTGAAGAGCAGCGGTGGAATTCCTTGGCAGCAAGGTTGCTAAGGGTAGTTCTGAGCTGAGTTAGGTCAGCAGAACTGATAAATGGGCAAGACCTCTTAGCTGCCTCCCTCTCTCTCCTGACCCCCGGCCTCTTCTTCCCAGGTCACATGCCATGCCGCCATGCACATGGAGGTAGGCTAGACACTGTCCTGTATAAATAGGCAACTTGAGGCGCTGAGCCCGGGTCTGCTCGGCGTGGGCTTACCCAGTTGTCTGGGGAATGTCAGCAGAGGCAACAAAACCCAAGCTGCTCTCCAGCGCTCTTGTCGGCTTTTAGCTGTTTCCGAGTTGAGGCGCCAGGTGTATGTGAACAGTGCATGGAATCTGAGTGTGTAGCTCCCCATGTATGTTTGTGGACCTACACCATACGTGGCCACCATTCATTCCACAGAACAGCCCCTAGGCTTCCTCACCCCCCTCCTCAGCCATCTCCTGACCAGGAAGACACCTTTTGTCACACAGGGTGCCATACCTGAGTGTCACATACGTAGGCATCCCACATGTCTGCCTTCTGCTGACCAGGACCGTGCACTCCCCGTGGGGTCAGTTCAGGGCGCACTGTGGGGTGTGGCCCTGTCTTATTCACTGAGCACACGGTCTGCACTGGGAGAACTTGGCTCATCCTCGGAGTAGCTGAGCTGTGGGCCTGGGCCTCTACTCCTATCTGGCCAGCTGTTTGATTTCATACAGGACGAATAGCTCCGTACCTCAGTGTCCTTACCTGCAGCCAAGTATGAGTAGTGCCTTCCTGGTACAGTTCTGAGGATTGGATTTACAGATAGCATGCTTATGAGGGAGGAGAAAGCCACAGGGAACAAGATGTTGGACCAACTGGGAACATTTCACCAGCTCCTGAGGGAGTGCACCATTCCTAGAGAGATCGTAAAGCGCAACGTAGGACAGATCTGCCTCAGCTCTCCCACGTTGCCTCTGTGGACTTGCAAATGAGATCCCAGGGCCATGATCAGTCACCTGGCCTTGCCTGGATAATTACCTCAGGGAGTCCACACCAGACAGACACAGACTCTTCCCTCAGGTTCCATCTCCTGTTCCACCACAGGCCAGCCACTTTTCTCTGCTCCGTGCCGGGCACCCAGCCCTTGGCTAGTCCTCTCTAGGCCAGTTCTGCCCCCAGCACACCGTGAGCACACATATGACACCTTCCTAGCCAGTAAGGTTGTCTGCCATTCTGACTCCTAATCCCTCCTGTTCCAGGCCCCTCGCCTTTCTGGCTGGCCGTGCTTCTAGACACGGTGCCTGCAGTTACCTGCTCACCCACCTCCAGAGCTTCTCTGGGCTGGGGTCTTGCTCCACCCAGCTGGCAGCTGGCAGCTGCAGGGTCCTCTGGAGGTGGCACCAGAGGCACCAAGTGCTTTAGTCAGGTCACTTCTGTTTTCAGTTCTGGGTGGTTTTCTGAAAGCTCCTGTGGCTTGTGTCATTTAACAGATGTAAGTGACGAAGTAAGGGAGAGCCATAGACTTGGATCTCTGTGATAGTCTTGGCGCCTTCCAGGACCTGGACTGAACCACATTTGTGTGACCTTGGGCAGACTCTCTGTGCCCAAGTACTTGAGTGTGAGTGTCACAGCCTCTGAAGTGCTGGTGTGAGGTAGTGGGTGTATCTCCTGCTTTCGCGACAAGCACCCGCAAGGACATGGTCTGGGGGTCTGGATGGCCCTGTCTGGCAGGCAGGTATCTGACCATGCCACACCTCATGTGTGAGGGGACCTCGGTCAATGATGCTCCAGGGACAGGTGCACCTCCACACTGTTCAGCTTAGTAAGTGCACAACGACCTGTGTGCAGCGAGCACACAGCAGTCCTGGGGAGCCCTGGGAACCCCTTTTGCACAAATGAAGCCCAGAGCCATTCCAAAGTCCTTGCAGAGAGTGGGCTGATAAATTATGAGGATGGGTGTTTTACCTGCATGTCTGTCTAAGTACCATGTGTGTGCTTAGTATCCACAGAGGTCAGGATAGAGGGTTGGATCCCTTAGAACTGGAGTTACAGGTGATACTGAATCTGGGTCTTCGGGAAGAGCAGCCAGGCTTCCTAACCACTGAGCCATCTCTTCAGCCCCCAAAAAAAGACTTTGTTTTTGTTTTTCAAGACAGGGTTTCTTTCAAACAGACTTTTATTTCTCACATTCTGGAAGCCAGAAGCCCAGGAAGGCGTGGCAGGCTCCCTTTGAGGCCTCACCCTTGGCCTCATAGATTTTGTCCTCCCTTGTCATCACGTGCTCCTTCCTCTGTGTGTCTGTGCCTAATCTTTAGGACACCAAAAGGGCCAGCTCAGTTAATCTCTTTCTCTCAAAACTCAGTTGTGCTCTGAAGTCCCAGGCTAACATATAAATTTGGAGGGGTTATAATTTCTCCAGCATCCCAGTATGAAGAGCCTGTCATGGGACATGCTTAGATCACAAGTGCCAATGCTAAAGTCCCAGGAGTTCTCTCTTACTTTTTTTGGGGGGGGGGTTGTTTTGGTTTTTTGGTTTTGGTTTTGGTTTTTGGAGACAGGGTTTCTCTGTATTGTTTTGGAGCCTGCCCTGGAACTTGCTCTATAGACCAGGCTGGCCTCAAACTCACAGAGATCCACCTGTCTCTGCCTCCCGAGTGCTGGGATTAAAGGCATGCGCCACCAACGCCCGGCCTCTCTCTTTCTTTTATAAGTTTCTAGTAACAAGCTGAAGCAGTCTGTGTGGTAGTAGCAGCTTCCCCATGTGATCCTTCCTTCCCACATCCCCATGCCTGATATACAGGTTCCTCTTGTCCTCAAGGACAGGCATTTCTCAGCTGCAAGTCCCTTGGACCGTTTGACTGACCAGGGAGCAGACTTGGACCTTTGGCACGTCAGAGGCTCGTGGATGGATTTCCAAATCCAGCTAGAGGACTCACTGGTCAGGGAACTTGGGGTTAATTTCATCACTCACACACACACACACACACACACACACACACACACACACACACACACACACGTGTCTGTGAAACCTTCGCTGTTGTGAAAGAGCGCCCCACCCATAGCTCTGGAAGCACAGATAGGCCCCATGCCTGTGGTTGGGAGCTCTTGGGGAAAATACTGCACTGGGGACTGACTAAGTCTCCTCTGGTAATCCCTCTGTACCCAGCCAGCCACAGAACCCTGAAGGAAGCTGTAGGGTCTTGAGTCACTTGTTGGCATTCCTGCCTGGGGCCTCTGGCTCAATGCCAGCCTGAGGCTGTCCTCTCCAGGTTCCTAGAAGGCCTTGGGTGTCAGGCTCACCTCATCTCTGTGTCTTTGGTGTGCCTTTGGCTGCTGGCCTTCAACACCACTGGAAGCTTCCTAACTGTGAAGTAGCCACTTTGTGCCCATCAGGTGAGGGGAACTTGGAGCAAAGTGAGGTACAAGGATACCAAGCATAGCAGCAGTTAGTACAACTGAGGCACATTAGCTGCCATCACCATTGACACCATCCCCACCAATGACACCATCATCACCACCATCAGCATCTCTGCCACTCCCGGCAGTAACTCCACCACCATCAGCATCTCCTGCAGTGCCCTCTCCATCACCACTGTTCTGAGTGGGTGCTTTTCCTCACAGTGCTGTATGGCAGTGCTTGACCTCATCATCGACTGCACTTGTAGAATATTGGGTGCAGAGCATGTACACTCATGGATCCTGGTACAGGGAAGAGAGAAAAACGTTACTATCTGCTGGGCGGTGGTGGCACACGCCTTTAATCCCAGCACTCGGGAGGCAGAGGCAGGTGGATCTCTGTGAGATCGAGGCCCAGGCTGAACCAACAACCTCCAAAACAATACAGAGAAACCCTGTCTCGTAAAACAAAACAAACAAAAAAAAAAATATTACTATCTGTTCCTTGGTAGCTCTGTATCCAGGAGAGCCATTTGGCTACTCTGAGCTTGCTAGAAAGGGCCACACAGCTTGCACAGGGGCTTTCTATGAAGTCGGCAGTGCTAGGTTTGAGGGACGCTGCCCATCATGTAATCATCCCACAGGCACTTGGCTCAACTCTTTTTGTTTGAAAATTCCTGCACAGTTGCTGAGGTCCAGGCAGGAGGAAGGTAGCTCATGTGTATATACTCAGCTTCTGCTGGGGAAGCTTCAGGCTGTGTTCTGGTGAATTCCTTGGCCAGATTTCTACATCCAAGACTCTCTTGGGAGTGAGGGTGAACAGGGGTGCTTGACACATATCATTAATCCTTAATGGCCCAGGCATCTTGTACCACAATGATACAATGGGGCCTACCTTGTTTGAGACTCAAGATCCTCAATACCACATGTATGTACTCACACACCATGTGCAGAGAGAGAGAGAGAGAGAGATGCCCACAAATGCTATGGCAAGAAGTGACTGAATCATGCATCTTTGTGACCCTGTGTTACAATGATTCATGCCGAGACAATAATCCTGCTGTGTCTAACAGGAAGTTTTGGTGTTTAGGTGAGTGACTTTTGAAGGAGTTTCTCTTCTCTGTAATCCCAACAGGTAGCAATGGAGACTGGAGGATTAGGAGTTCGTGGCTAGTCTGGGCTACATGAAACCCTGTCTTTAAAATTAAATATTAACAGAAAGAGATAAGGTCTCATAGAGCTCAGATTGGCCTCAAACTCAACATCCTCCATACTAGCATGCCTAGCTATTCCTTATTTTTTTCCTTATGGGCATGTACCACTCGTCTAATAATAGAAAATAAAGATGGAAAACTGCAGCCCCCTTGTGCCTAGATACAGGCCCCTCTTTCTCAAAGGCTAGGGCAGGGAGCCGTGGTGTTTGGCACAGCCTCATCCACAGCTTGAGGCTCCTGGCGTCTGTCCTCTCGGGTCCTGGCACAGACTTCCCAGTGGCAGAGGCCTCAGCAGGTCTCGACCTGAGAACCACAGACTCTGTGTTGCTTTCCCGCACTGTGACCATGGCCTCCAGAAGTCTGCCCTTGTAGATTTGCAGTGACTTTGACTCACTGTGTCCTGTAAAGACCAGAAGATCAGTAAATGACCACGATTATTAGACCCTGGGGACTCTGTACCTGAGTCATTGTCTTGGTATGAAGATGTGGGTCTGTGGGGTCTCAATCCTCATCCTGAAGAAGCCCTATTCTTGCACACAGTGCTCACAACTGCCTCCCGGTCCTGGCCTCCTGGGTGCAGGATGGGAGACACAGGAACCAGCCTGACCCACAGGGATCATTCCTCCCAAGGAGAGGTATTAATCTTCTATTGGTAACCGTCACCAACAGGCCTTCCTGAGGAGCAACATGGAGGGAGCTATGACCCGAAATCCAGGAGGAAAAGAATTTTCTAGACCCCAGAGCAGCTCCTGGAAGGGAAGGGAGTGTGTGTCTCTGACTTAAATAGTAATAGCAACCTAAGCAGGGCCTTACACTGTATTCCTGACATGGGCCACAGCTCAGAGAGTTTACTCTGCTGTCAAGGACCTGGTACAAGCAGGCCCTCTGAGAGATGCAGCCTGTTGGACCCACCATGCACTAGATGCTCCCACATAGGGAAGGCTGGCAACCTGTGTCAGGAGACAGGATCCCCTGCTCGGAAGTCTTGGTTCACAGGTTCTTGAAGCCTCTAAACATCATGACTGTCCTGCCCTGCCCTGCATATTCCCATGCTAGTTCAGCTCTCTTCAGGGACCTTGGCTGCAAACACTTCCTGGAGTCTGTGGTACTGGCTCTTCTGAGGTGGTGGTGTTTTCCCTACAGGAGACGAATCACATCTCAGCGTTGTTCCCTCGAATTTCTGGAAGATGCAGTGGGATGTAGCTCCGTGCAGAGGTACACACCCTACATGTTCCTAATCCAAGGCCCTGAGTTCCAGCTGCCCCTAACCCCTGGGGCCACAAGGAGGACAAGAACGACCTGCTTTTTACCTTACAGAACCAAGCACGCATCTGGGTCACCAAGACACAAAGGCCTGAAGAAGACCCACTTCATCAAGAACATGAGGCAGTATGACACCAAGAACAGCAGGTAAGAGCATGCAGGGCCTAGCCTGGGACTCCCCACTGAGCTCCCTGCACTGCAGGTCCAGGCCATATCTCTGAGGGCCAGCCATGTGAGCTCAGGGCTCCTGCTTCTTCACCCGTGGCCTGTCTCCTGACCCTTTAGAAGTGGGCACTCATGTTCCTCTAAGTTAGCTGAACACTGGCCAGCATGGCCCGCCAGCAAGCCAGCCTTGTACAATCCCAGGGAATAGCCACCAGCTGGACTCAAGTCTTTGGGAAAAGAGAAGTAGGAAGGTAAACATGGGCCCCACCCCAGATGTGCTCAGTGTAAAAGGTGCAGCTGTAGGAGGCATACACAGGATAAGACATGATTGTACTTGGGAGCACAGAGGAGGAAGCAGTCACAAACTGGTATTTGGCCTCCAAAACAGGGCTAGGCTGGGCTCTGGGCAGCTGCGCATCTGCTGCACTGGTGCAGGGGCAGTGCTTTGACTGTGTCCTGGGCACCACACTGCAGTTACTCTGCTCCACTCGGGAACCACTTGGGTTCCCAGTGGTTTCCCCATCCCTCTGTAGGTCACCCTGGAAAGTATCTCCAGGGAATGTTGCTACAGGGTCTGGCCAGAGGTGGCTCCCCCCAGATCCTGAGCTCCGAGACTGCAGCATGGCCTTGGGTCCTAAGCCCCTGGATAACTGAGCTCTGTATTAGATCTGGGTGCTCTGTAGAGCATTGGGCCTTGCCTTGGTCTGGACCACTGAGGCTTGATGCTGGTGAACTTTGACCTCACCTTCCTGAGCTCTATCTTTGTGCAAATGAAGCCTGCCCTTTCCTGGGTGACCTGTGCCCCCAGGAAACATGAAGTCTATGACCCTGTGTTACAGGGTCAAGGGAGATCTACCCAGCAGCTCCATTGTACTCCTAAGGCGCTGTGCCTGGTAACAGGGTGTTGCTTTCCTACTAAGCAGCTCTAGGGAACCTGGCCCATGTGCTAAGATGCTAGGCCTGGCTTCGTGAATCCCAGTCCCCTCTGTGGCTCCTGTCAGCTCCCATCCCCCAGCTCTAGGCAGGACGGAATCAAGGCCCTGCTCTGACCTGGGCTTCCCACAGGATTGTACTCATCTGTGCCAAGCGGTCCCTGTGTGCGGCCTTCTCAGTCCTGCCCTATGGAGAAGGCCTCCGGATCAGGTAAGACCCATGTATACCGATGAGCCCTGAGCCCAGCCCACAGGCAACAGTGTAGCCCGTCACTGAGTGTAGGCTGGGTCCTTAGACTCATGAGGTGTCAGCATGCCCTCTGCCACCACAGCCCAGGAACTTGGATTTCAGGTTCTTATTCCCTAGGGGCCACAGGTTCTGATGAAACCATGTATAGGTTGGCTGAGATATTTCTGTCCCTCCCTCAGATATGCTCCTAAAACCTTGTGACCAACCCTGGCAATTGTGTCCTGGGTGTAATTCAGGGAAGAAGGAATCAGCTGTTGGGGCGGGGTGAGGCTGTGTGACCCCACAGAACAATAGTCAACACAGAGAGGGTGGTAGCCAGTTCTCAGCATCCCGGGGCAGCTGCTGAGGTGGCTGCAGATGAAGCGTTAGAGGCACCCAGGGAAGCAGATCTGAGCCCAAGTACAGGTGAGTGTTCAGGGTGCTCCAGAGCGGTGGCTCGCTGGTGCTTTGATAGATGGCGTCTGTCTGGGGCAGGCGTGAGCTGTAGACTACCTTCAGCTTAAACCCGTCTGGACCTCCAAGGTCATGCCCACCTACTTCTCCTCCTGTGCTGGATGAGCAGACAAGGCTGCCACATGGACTTACTGTGGGACAGGCATCCACCCACTGATTGCAGGAAGAGGGAGGGACTCCAACCCTCTCCTAATCTTTGCAGTGACCTGAGGGTGGACAGCCAGAAGCAGAGGCACCCATCCGGCGGCGTTGCTGTTTCTTCTGAGATGGTCTTTGAGTTGGAAGGCGTTGAGCTGGGAGCAGATGGAAAGGCAAGAGCCCTGTGGCCAGCAGAGTTAGGCAGACAGGGCCTCACGCAGCAGTCTGAGACGCGGTATTGGGAACAAGCCACACACCTATCCCTAGCTGCCCATGCACCCCAAGGAAAGGCCCAGGAATGCACCTACTGTCTCCCCCTGGGCTCTCCACACATAGCCCTGCTTCTGAACCAGTAAGCCAAAGCCAAGGGTCTTCTAAAATGAGACTTGCACAGCTGTAGACCCCAGAGATGCAAGCTGATATTCTGACATAAGAGTACCTGCCCCGGACACTTTGGGGAGGGCCTGGGCCCTCCCTGGAACAAAATGACAGACTTTAGAGATTCCCCCATGGAGGGCCTTACCCTCCCTGGGGATTGGGTGGGGGGCTGGGGGAGGAGTGGGTGTGGAAGGGAGAGGGAGCTGGGACAGACATGGGAAGCAAGCTTGTTCCTAATTTAAATATATAATTAAAAAGTATATAGGGTTGGAGAGATGGCTCAGAAGTTAAGAGCACTGGCTGCTCTTCCAAAGGTCCTGAGTTCAATTCCCAGCAACCACATGGTGGCTCACAACCATCTGTAATGAGATCTGATGCCCTCTTCTGGCCTGCAGGCATACATGCAGACAGAATACTGTATGCATAATAAATAAATAAATCTTTTTAAAAAAGTATAAAAAAAAATAGTACCTGCCCCAAGTGGGTAGCAGCATGACCCTCAGGATCCTTGCTGGAGGGTGGAGGGAAGCAGAATTTGGTTGTACTTTCTGGCCTGGGGAAACAGGACTGAGCTCCCATGTGATTTTGCTTTTCTAGGTCGTGTCTTATGCAAAGTTCCTGTACCCTACTAATGCCTTGGTTACACACAAGAATGACAGCCATGGCTTGCTGCCCCAGCCTCGGCCCAGCGTTCCCCGGGTTCCACCAGGTTCAAGACACAAACCTGTGCCTACCAAGTCAACACCAGCTGGCACAGAACTAGGTAGTCCAGGTGCCTTTGCCATGGCACAAGGGGCAGCAGCACTGGCTGGCTAGGGACAGTGATGGGACAGACGGCAGCATAAGCCACATCTGCACTGAGACTTCTCAGGGGACAAGGATTCCAGAGGTGTGGCCCTAGGCTCTGCCTGAGTCAGGCAGAGGAAAGCATCAGTGTGGGAAGGGGGCACTGTCCAGGTATCACGTCTTATACCCAAGCCCTAGCCCCTTTACCTGGAGTCCTCTCTGACCAGGGAGCCTTGTTGTGATGTGACACCTCAGCCTTGGGTGTGGTGGGGTAGGGGTGACATCCAGGGTGTCAACAGCTGTCTCTGCTTACAGGAAACGATGGGGGAGATGCCGTAGAATACAACCCCAACCTCTTGGATGACCCACAGTGGCCATGTGGGAAGCACAAGCGGGTACTTATCTTTGCTTCGTACATGGTGAGTTCCGTAGCCCTAACATTGTTCAGGGTTAAACTGTGAGTGAGCACCCCTCCCCATCCAGAAGCCCAGAACAGCCATTCCAGGGTGCCTTGTGCCCATCCAGCACCAGCAGGTAGGACAGGGCCATAGACAAGGGCAGTGTGACAAAGCCGGATAGCCAGCCATGCTAGACAGGCTTCTGGGGTCAGCTCTGGGAGCCTGGGCCTGTATGTACAGAGGACAGACAGGCTGAGCCATTTTATCCTCAGAAGTACAGGTGCCTTTCTGAGGTCCCACATATTCATGTCTGTAAACCCAGGCCGCAGGGCATCCACTCTCAAGGCGTCTAGGCTCCACCTACCTCTACTTCTGTTATAGACCACGGTCATAGAGTATGTGAAGCCTGCAGACCTCAAAAAGGACATGAATGAGACCTTCAGGGAGAAGTTCCCTCATATCAAACTGACACTGAGCAAAATTAGGAGGTAAGAAAGGGCCAGGCAGATGCCCCTACCCAGCCAAATAACCTGGCCCTGGGCTTTCTCCTTGGAGAACATAGTGTCCTTTCTGACAGCCCACAACACATGGTCTAGCCATGGAAGGGTGGCCGAGGCTTCGTCATAGTCTCACGGACATGGCTCCCATCCCACCCACAGTTTAAAGCGGGAGATGCAGAACCTGTCTGAAGAGTGCAGCCTGGAGCCCGTGACTGTGTCCATGGCTTACGTGTACTTTGAGAAGCTGGTGCTGCAGGGCAAGCTCAACAAACAGAACCGCAAACTGTGTGCTGGAGCCTGCGTTCTGCTGGCTGCCAAGATCAGCAGTGACCTCCGCAAGGGCGAAGTGAAGCAGCTGATTGACGTGAGTCGGGGGTGTGCCCGCAGCAGCAGGGCACTGAACAGCAGGTGGGACCACGCGGGGCTAACCTGCTGACCCTTTGCTTCCTTCCCTACAGAAGCTGGAGGAACGATTCCGGTTCAACAGAAGAGATCTCATCGGATTTGAGTTCACGGTGCTTGTGGCTCTGGAACTGGCTCTGTACCTCCCTGAGAACCAAGTGTTACCTCACTACAGACGCCTCACCCAGCAGTTCTAGCCCGGAACAGTGCATCCTGCAGGAATGCATGTAGCTTGGCAACACTGAGGCAACTAATGTCCTGTCCTCCTCCGGTAGTGCACTTGCCCCCACAGCCCAGGGTTGGTTTCCCTGGAGACACTGCTTCCATTCAGAAGTGCACCACACCTCAGAGCACTTCAGAGAATTTTCCTGAGGTAAATGGACAATGTGGAGCTTGGCTTGCTCTTCTTGTGCCTGAGACCAGCCTGGTTTACATTGTGTGGATCCTGAGGTCCAGCCTTTGAAACCCATCACAGCTGAGACCTTTCCTGTGGAGACCCAGGTGCCCAGACCTGAACATACCAGGATTGTCAGCCAGTCTTACTTCTGGAAATGACCCTGCCTCCACCTCAACAGAGCTCTCCTTTGTTGTCAAGGTAGAGGGGAGGGCTAATACCTTGACCCACTCTGGTTTTGCTTACTCTTTGGATCTTAAGCATTTGTCACTGTGAAACCCGTGCCATTCACACATACAGCAAGGCTTGGCCAACCCCACCACACCTCCTGCCAGAACCTTCCCTACAGCACTGCTGACTTGAGGCTCTCCACTTTCCTAAGCAATACTGTGATGCAGAAAAGGCATTGTAATTTGGGATATGGTCTCCAAGGCAACAGAAGCTGTTTCAGTAAGGTCTGCTGGTACAACCCTGAAACCACACCTGATCTTCAAGCAGTAAGGCACTGACCCTGCCACCTCTAACAACATAATGCCATCGAGGCCAGCTTGCCTGCACATCCACTGTGCCATGTCCCTTAGCTTTTATGTGACAACCCATCACTACCCTGGGCTCTAGCATCCGCCCAGCTCCACAGCCTCACCATGTCCCAGCAATGCTCATGCCTGTCAGGCCTGACACTGTCCAACCTCCTAGGGCCAGGGCATCAACAATAGCTTGAGTATAAGGGAACCTTGCAGGGTAGTTGACAAACCAGTCTTCTCGATACTGACCATGCTTATGCTGGTGTAAGCGAACCCATACCCATATAGCATCTTGGGTGCAAGACAACAGTCCTGCAAACATGTAATCTTCAAGGTAGTCCCCTCCTTTGGTTTAAATCCTAGACATTGCTCCAACTTACAGGCTACCCTTGGAGAGCACCCAGGCAGCTTTTCTCTAGATGGTAGTTAATGTTAAAGCTGGTAGGCGGCAGTAACTTAAGCTTATATATTTATGTAGTTAAGGTTTGTTATTTACCAAGCTCGTCTGCTAGTGTCCTTCCCTCCCAGTCGTCTTTAGTGACGCCAAGAGCTGCTGCAACAAAACCAACCGTAAACCAAATGGCAGGCTAAACCCAGAAATCCGAGCTATATCCACGGTGTCCAGCTGGACTGTGACCCAATGCCACAGACCTGGTGCTGCGCCCTTAGCACCCAACAGTAGGCACAAATGTTTGTGAAAGGGCATCTGACCTCAGAATGTCATGTGTCAGGTAGGTTTTGAATGGTGTTAAAATGTTTTTGTTAAAGTAAAACTTGGTTTTGCAACATACTCCCTAGTTTGTCTCCTTTAAGATGGTGTGCCGCCCCTGTTCAGGTCACAATAAGAACACCAGCCCCGCCCACACACTAAAAGCAGACAGCCAGCAAAGATACTTTCTCACTTTTATTTATGACAAATATTCCCCCATCTCTTCTGGTCAAAAGTTCCTAACAAAGGAAGAAAAAAAACATTAAAAGCCATACCTCTTGGTAACTCCCAGACCAACTCAACCCCAATGTGATTCTCCCACTACACTTACTTTGAAACGATTCCATCAGCCTTAGCCAGTCGGAGAATAGAATCATCTGACTCGCCCTTAAAATTAAAAGTAAATCCCTGAATATCCCCATAGGTTCCCGGCTCAGCAGGTCAGAGCATGCACTACCATACCCAAATCTGCACCCACACCAAGGGGAGATAGAATGAGTTCACCTAAGGAAAAACCAACCACTTAAATCTTCCTAGAGCAGGCCCCCATGGTCTGAGAGGCCCTGCCAACCATTTTTTCCAGAGGGACACCGCCATCACAGCTCAAATGTCTGCGTGAACACTACTAGAAATCACAGGTCCACGTGGTAAACCAAACTCACCATCCTGCGAATGGCCCCGCAGATAGCATAGGTTTTAAACTGACCATTGAAGCGGCCTGTGCACCTGTCAACCTGCACAGGGAGAGAGCGGTTAGGAGATTCGACCCCACCCCACGCTTTAGGTCTAGCCTGGGTACTAGGAAACACCAAGTCGCGCGAAACCAGGCAGTGAGAGGCCTAGCCGCTGCCTCCTCCCTACCCCCGGGAACAAGCCCCAGCTCACCTCGGCCACATTCATCTGGATGGATGCGTGGTCCTTGGCGCCGATGATGCGGTTGCTCGCGGAGCTGGGGGAAGAGAACAGCGCGTGCGGTGGGCCGCGAAGGGGAACAGGCGGGGGGAGAGGGGAGAGGGCCGTAGGCGCGGCGGGGCCGCGGGCGCTTACCATTTCCGCGGCACGTACAGGTCCACGAACTCGCCGGCGTCGTTCTGCATGTCGAGACCGTGCCTGCAGAGCCATCGCGCGCGCCATGAGGTCGGCCAGGCCCGCACTCGAAACTGCGGCCCCAGCAGACCCGTTCTCGAGCGCCCGGGCCATCCGTCCGCGACCTCCCCGACCCGCCCGGCCCGGCCCGCCCCGACCCGACCCGACCCGGCTCGGCTCGCACCCACGGCCCGCCGCGTGCTCTACCTGCTCTCTCGGCCAGCGAAGCGCAGAAAGGAAGTGGAGCGTCTCCGGGCAGCTCTATTGGGCGGGAGGGGCGGTGCGTCTGGTGAATGCTTCCGGGTCACAATGTTCGTATCCACCGTCCCGGAGGCAGGCTTCGGTGTCTTTTCTTCCGCTTCCGGTGCAAAGAAGCCCCGCCTCTTCCGCACAAAGCTCAGACACTAGAGCCGGGCTCTACCTCCAACCAAGGCGGGGCTCCGCCCACGGCATGGGAAGCTCCGCCTCAGGCTCCGCCCACGGCACGGAGCCGCCTCTCCTCTCTTCGAGCCCCGCCCCTCCGCCCGGCACCGGCCGGTTCTCCGCCTGGGATTGCGGGGCGCGGACTCCGGCTCGGGAGTCCTGCGAGTACGCGCTCCGGACGGGAAGGACGTGGGAGGAAGCTGCGCCTGGAAATCCGCTCCCGGGAAGCCACCGCCAGTCTCAGAGAGGAACGGCCGAGCCTGGCGGAGGGAGAGGCGGGCACGGGTGTCGGCAGTGCTGGCAATCCAGTCGGAACTGCCGAGCCAGCGAGGCGTCGGGACGGGGAAGCCCAATCCTTGAGGTAGGGGAAACGGAGGTCGCTGCACATTCATCCTCTGCACGGACCCGCTCCCCACCTGCGTGCTCCCCTGCGGCGTCTCCACCCAGGCTCGGGGCCTCTCCCCGGGCCCTGCCCACTCCTGCTCTGGCCAGCACGGGGTCCGTCAGCCTAGTGTCTGGCCAGAGGGTGCACGCCTTTTAATCTCAGTACGCCGTATACGTAATCAGTAAATCTTTTTTTAAAAATCAGAAGGAGGCCGGGCGTTGGTGGCGCACGCCTTTAATCCCAGCACTTGGGAGGCAGAGGCAGGCGGATCTCTGTGAGTTCGAAGCCAGCCTGGTCTACAAGAGCTACTTCCAGGACAGCCTCCAAAGCCACAGAGAAACCCTGTCTCGAACAACCAAAAAAAAAAAAAAAATCAGAAGGAGGAAAATTCCCGGGCTGTTGCCACATTCACCGTAAAGCGCAGTCAGCCCCCCCCCCCCCCCGTTGAATTGGCTGCAAACCAGCCGGGACCCAAGACTCTCTCGTCTACACCGTTGGCCTTCCTACCACCGCATTTCTTCACGTAGGGATCCACTCAAAGACAGCCAGATCCAACAGCAAGGGAACATGGCCACTAATGAGAGAAAGAACAGCCCATTGAAACTGACCCCAGGACTGACTGAGAGTTTAGAATTAGCAAACGAGGTTGTGATAGGAGTTTTCATAGACTGTGTTCCATCTGCTCAAAACCTGCACACCTGGAGCCACGCTCAGAAGGTGCTGGGCAGGCATGTCAAAACAGTTTGATCTAAGCCCGGTGTGGTGGGACACACCTTTAATCCCAGCACTCGGGAGGCAGAGGCAGGCGGATCTCTGTGAGTTGGAGGCCAGCCTGGTCTACAGAGTGAGTTCCAGGACAGGCTCCAAAGCTACACAGAGAAACCCTGTCTTAAAAAAACAAAAAGAAAGAAAGAAAGAAAGAAAGAAAGAAAGAAAGAAAGAAAGAAAGAAAGAAAGAAAAGAAAACCTAAACTTTTAGTTGTAAAGAAAAGAGTAATTAAACTAATAAATAAGCCTCCTCAGTTAGTGTTATGACACTTTGTCCTTCTGAGGAAGCTGAGGCCGTATTTGGGCTACAGCTATCGCTGCCTCTGGTTCCTTGTCCAGCAGACACCAGCCCAGCGCTCACCCACACCGGGGACATCTGCGGCTCTCAGCACTTAACTGGGTCCTCATCCAGTGTGACAGTGAGGTGACCCAATACCAGTGCTCTCATTAAAGCAGCCAGCGTAAATGTTCATCCATTCTAGCCCGGCTATTTTGTTCTGGTTCTGTGACACCAGGACTAGTAGAGTTGACCAGCAGAGGCCCTGCCCCAGCCTGGCTGAGGAAAACACTAGTCTTTTGAAGGATATCAATGGATAGAGGTGGGCATGATGGCACATGCCTTTAATCCCAGCACTCGGGAGGCAGAGGTAGGCGGATCTCTGTGAGTCCAAGGCCAGCCTGGTCTACATACTAAGTTCCTGTCTGGGTGGGAGATAGTGCTGGGTCGAGAAGGCCCAGTCAGCACACCAGCACACACTTTATGCACAGCATGAGGACCCGAGTTCAATCCCTAGAATCCAGGTGTGGCAACACAAACCTGTAATCCAGGGCCAAGGAGGCAGGAAGGAGAATTCCTGGGGCTTGCTGGCCAGCCACTCTGGTGAATGAGGAGATTCCAGGTCCGGCAGGAGACCCTGTCCCTAAAAGTGAGGTGGAAAGTGATCGAAGAAGCCACCAACATCAACCTCTGGCCCACACAGATACACGCACGTGCATGTGCGTGTGTCTCAGTGTGTGTGTGTGTGTGTGTGTGTGTGTGTCTGTGTGTGTGTGTGTCTGCCTGTGTGTGGCAGAGGTCAGCCCCATGTGTTGTTCCTTGTGCACTATCCGCCTTGTGTTTTGAGGCAGAGTCTCTCATTCGTCTGGATCTCAGCTGATTCAGCCTGTGAATCCCAGGGATCCATTCCTTTCCCTTAGCACCCCAGCACTGGGATTGCAATCCCATCTTCAGGGCCCATGAGATCTGGATGACCCTTCCTGTAAGATAATTTGCTGCACAAAATTCAAGACCCACAAAATAAAGGGGTGAGACCCTTCCCTGAAGGGGCCTCCAAGGATCTGCAGAGTGGGGAACTGCTCAGAGCAGGTAGCATCCTCACATCCCCCTGTACTGCCCACAGTCGCCACTTGGGGGCAGCCAAGAGCCATTCTGGATCAAGGGCAACCGGGCACAGTTCAGCTCCTAGTCCCTTCCAAGCTGTCTGGGCCACTTCACCCCAAGTCAGGCAGTCGTCTGTTGACAGAAACTCTTGTAAGGTCTCTAGGGTGGGAAAGGGTTGGGTCAGAGGCCAAGTGAGAAAGAGGGAGGGGAGCAGGAGGACACCAAACACTGTTAGGCCAAAGTCTTTTTTTTTTTTGGTATTTTGAGACAGGGTTTCTCTGTATTGTTTTGGAGGCTGTCCTGGCACTCACTCTGTAGACCAGGCTGGCCTCAAACTCACAGAGATCCACCTGCCTCTGCCTCCCGAGTGCTGGGATTAAAGGCGTGTGCCGCCCTTCCTGTATTTGTTGCATTTTACTTATTTATTTGTGGACATGTGTATGTATGTGGATGCACATACGACTTGGTGTGCGTGTGAAGGTCCAAGGACAAATTGAGGAAGTCAACTCTCTTCTTCCACGTGTGGGACCATGTGGGGTCTAACTCAGGACATCAGTCTTGGTACCAGGTACTGTCACCCACTGAACCATCTCACTGGACCTCTTCTGACTCTTAAAAAAAGAAAGTATCCCGGGGCTGAAGAGATGGTTCAGAAGTTAAGAGCACGGGACTGCTCTTCCAGAGAACCTGGGTTCGATTCCCAGCACTCACCAGACAGCTCACAAGTGTCTGTGATCCAAGGAATCTGACACACCCTCACACAGACATACATGCAGGCAAAACACTGATGCATATAAATTCAAAAAGCAGGTAGCCTGTACTATCCCTTGTAGACCAGGCTGGTCTCGAACTCACAGATCGGCCTGCCTCTGCCTCCCGAGTGCTGAGTGTCCTGTATTATCTCGATTGGCTAGTATCACATAGGTATTATGAGCCAGCTCTGGTACTCATTTCCGCTTCATCGTCTTTTTTGTTTTTCCTTAAAGAATCATTCATTTTCATTGCATATGAATGGGTGTTTTGCCTGTGTGTGTATATGTGCGCCGTGTGCATGTCTGGTGTCTGCAGGGGTCAGAAAGGGGGGCACCAGATCCCCTGGAATGGAGCTATAGGTGGTTGTGAGCTGCCGTGTAGGTGCTAGGAATCAAACCGAGGTCCTCTTCAGGAGCAGCCAGTGCACCGGACTGCCAAAGCCATCTCTCCAGACGCTCGCTTCGTCTTCCTTAGCTGTGTGACCTGGGACAAATCATGTAGTTGTTTCTCTTGACTACAGAGCGGAATGGCTGCCATTAAGCCACCGACAGGTTACTTACCTTCAGTTAGTTAACATATGCACCGTTGCTCGTTCCCATTATTGCCAGTATCACAGCTGCCTTCTTCGCCGTCGCCATCACCAACATTCCAGCACCGTCCCTGTTACCACCGCCATGGCCTCCATTACAGTCTCATTGTGACCACCGTCATCAGTATCACAATTCTGAATTTGGGTGCCTAGGTTCCCAATCCCCGACCTTACATAAGTCCTGATCTGGATTCTGGGGTTTTGTGTGCAGTAGACCCCACTGGATTCCCCCATACCCACCCTGAAGGTCCGCCTCACATCCGTGTAAACTGAGGCTTAGAGGTGCGATGGAGCAGCTATGCGTGGGCCAAGGGATGGAGCCAGGCCAGCATCAAATACAGTTTGTGAGGAGAGGATCTAGTCCAGGACAAGGAAGCCTTCCTAACAGACCCCGACTTTGTTCAAGATGAATGACAGGTCAGGGTAAGGGACAAGCCTTCTCCCTGGGCAGGTCCAACCAGGGGCTCCAGCTCCTTCTCCCTCAGGCCCCTCTCCTGGATGAAACTCTGACCCAACACAGAGTGGGGTTCCTGGGACCACTGCTTCCCACCCAGCCATGGTAGAGACCATTTTCTGGTCTCCAGCAGTCATATAACCACCCTCTCCCCTAGGCATAGAGAGATCAAGCGAGACCCGCCAGGCAGAACCAACAGAGGGTCAGCCACACTGTTTTTGGGGTCTAGAGGACCCTCAGGGCATTAGCCACAGACCGGAGGAAAACAAGAGTGGGGATGCTGGCCTGGATCCTTCCTGCTGCCTTCCCTTCAATCCTGCTTTGTTCTGTTACTGCATCAGTTTGGTTAGTGTCCATTGATCTGACATAATCTGAAACTCACTGGGAGCATGACTGTAGAGGGTCACCTTGGCTGTGCTCACTGAGGAGGTGGGGAGACCTGTCTACTGTGAGCGGGTCCATTCCTTAGGCAGGGGATGATCCATCCCCGGCTGCGTGAAGTGGATCCCTTGCTTTCTTCGTTTACTACCGTGGAGCCAATGAACCACCTGGAGTTCCCCATATGAGGAAGCCTACCCTGAACTAGCAGCAAAACCAGTCTTCCCTCGCCTCCATGGCTTTTGTCAGCTTCTTATCACAGCATCAGGAAAAGAAACAGTGTCTCACTGGGTTGTTACATTTTTTTTTATTTCTTTTTTTTTTTTTTTTTTTTTTTTTTTTTGCTTTTACGAGACAGGGTTTCTCTGTATTGTTTTGGCCGCTGCCTGCCTCTGCCTCCCGAGTGCTGGGATTAAAGGCGTGGCGGGTTTTAAATCTTATTGTAGGTGGCTTCAGTGAAACCCAGCCCTTACCAGACCAAGAGCACAAGCCCCAGACGCTTAGGAGAACCACCCTTGATGCTGCTGGCTGACCACTGCAGGAATCTGTCTGAGTCCAGGTAGGCCCCAGCCTGCTCCCCCAAAAGATCCCCTTCCGGGCTACAGGTGAAGAGAATGGAGAAGCTGCACCCCCCAACTGTCTGGGCAGGTCTTAACCACAAGCATACCCACAGTGTCGCTGACAGACTGTGAAGTCAGAATGCCCTCTCCCCAGTCTTGCCTCTACCCCTTCCGGAGGGCTGGGTACCCAGCTCTGGGTCACAGAAAAAGAGCCTTTGATCCCAGCAATTCCATTAGAGCTCAGACACTGGCCAACCAAGATGCCCTGTCGGGTTCAAGGCGAGGAAGCAGAGCAGTCCTAAGTCTTGCCTAGCTAGCTACAGTCTGACCTCTGACCCCAGTCATAGACAGTGCCCAGACCCAGCTTCCAGGCTGACCTCTGGCCCTAGGTACAGACAGCCCTGACAGACACTAGGTCTCTCCACCCCCAGGTAGAGCAGCGTTGTAATAAATATAAAGGCCTAGGGCTGGCTCGTTTCTGGACTGTTTGCCACACCCCAGCCCCAGAGCTTCCCTTGGAGACACGTGCAGCACGTATGAGCCAGCAAAGCAGGCCGAGGCGCGGGGAGGAGCTGTGGCCCACCCCAGGTAGGGCTCGTCAAGCACACATCCCCAGTGGTGTCGGTGACTTAATCTCTTCTGTCAAACAGGTTCAGCAGCCGTATGCCTGTTTCCTCTCGTGTCCTCCTCCCCTTGGGCCCTCCTGTCAAGGACCATGTGTGTTTGTTCACCCAGATATAATCTACTTCTGGAATGTCTTCTGTCTGACACCCTGATCCACCGACACAGCTTCTTGGAATGGTTAACTTAAAAACACACCCCCCTCTCCCTCTGCCCTTGCCCTGTCCTCCGTTGCCATGTTTCGAAGTAGCCAATGGGTGTGGATTGCCAGGCCAAACCTCAGCCAGTGCCAAAGCCAAAAGCGCCTTGCGTTAGGGGTGTAGGGCCTTGCCCCCCCACCTACCCCCCCACCCGCAACTTTTGGCAGACACTTACTCTTGCATGCAGAAATGAAGAAGTGAAGTCTTCCTTGCTGTGACCCTTAATTTGAGTGATAATTTCTTGATGTGTGACCCCACTCTCATCTGTTACGACATGACATGGGGACTCGTCCAGGGTTCTGACCCTCCTGAAGAGGTTCACAGTTCCCCTCCCGGAGGAAATGCATCCCAGACCTGTGTGCAGTGAACCCTGGGCCCCGAGTCTTTAGAGCTCCCTGGGCTAATGAAGAAACAAACCCAGGACTGGAATCTGGAGAGACGGCCCAGGGGTTAAGAGCACTCGCTGCTCTTCTAGAGGACCCAGGTTTAGTTTCCGGCATGTGCACAGTGACTCATAGCCACCCAGAACTCTAGATCCAAAGAATCCAACAACTTCTGACCTCTACAGACACCTACAGGTACACATGCACACAGTACACACACACACACACACACACTCGCGCGCGCAAACAGACAGCAAGTTTACCTTGCTTTTTCTTTTTTTTGAGGCAGGGTCTCTCTACATAACCCTGGAATTTGCTGGGATTCACTCTGTAGACCAGCCTGACTGGCCTGAAACTCAGATCCCCCTGCCTCTACTTCCCAAGAGCTCGAATTAAAGGTGTGAGCCACTATGCCCAGTCATAACTTTTTTTTTTTTTTTTTTTTTGGAGACAGTGTTTCTCTGTATAGCCCTGGCTGACTGTCCTGGAATTCAGTCTGTAGACCAGGCTGCAAACTCATAGAGATCCTCTGCTTCCTGAGTGCTGGGATTAAAACTGAGCACTATCACCGATCAGCCATAAACTTTTTTTAAAAGCAGGGTGCAGCCTTTAATCCCAGCACACACACACACACACACACACACACACACACACACACACACACACGACAAGGACTGGAAGGTTCTCAGCTTCAGTGACTCAGACTCTGTGCCCAGAACACAGTTTAGAAACATTGGAGACCTCGAAGTGCTCCTTGGTGGTTGGGTCGTCTGTGGAGGTTGAATGAGAATAAATGGAAACAGTTACTGCCTGTGGAATAAATGGAAACAGTTACTGCCTGTGGAGTCCCAATCTGAAGTTCCGTGGGTGGACGCCCTGATGACTTCATTCAGCCCTTGCCTGTCCTTTTGGTCCTATTCAGGGCTTTACACCAACATGATGGGCGTCAAACACAGGATACTGTCCCATAATGAATCAGAAGTTGGACGGTGGTGGCACACGCCTTTAATCCCAGCACTCGGGAGACAGAGGAAGGTGGATCTCTGTGAGTTCAAGGCCACCCTATCTACAAAGCGAGTTCCTGGACAGCCACGAATAGCAAAAACTACACAGAGAAATCCTGTCTTGAAAAACAAGCAAAAAAGGCCTGTTTCCCAAGAGGGAATTAAGCATGCTCAGTGCTGGAGGGAAGGCTCGGTAACTTGACTCCCCTAGAAGCAGATCAGGACCACCACAAAGATGAGCAAGGGCATGACTGCTTGTTTTCCTCCCACCTGATGCAGCCCGGCCACAGCTGCTTCCTCTGCCTTCTCTTCCTCAGCTGTCTGAAACCCTTCAACTCAGACAGACCCTGTGTTAGACTCAGCCAACACTGGCCTCCGGTGAGCAACATGAGGGAAAAAATTGAGAATGCCCCAACAACCTTAGACCCTTCTCCAACTGGTATGCCCACTTGGAAAAGCTCCCCTGGGAAGAGGAGGGGTTGGGTTTGAATGTGAAGTCAGAGACAACTAGGAGCAGAACCAGATCCCACGTCATGGAAACAAGAAGAAACAAGTTAATAGAGGACATAGAAGATGCCCCATCTCAACACTCAGGAGGCAGAGGCTAGTGGGTCTCTGTTTGAGACCAGCCTCATCTACAGTGAGTTCCAGGATAATCAGCCAGGGATACATAGAGAAACCCTGTCTAAAAAAAACACACACACACACACACACACACACACAAACAAAAAAAATAAAATAAAGCCAGCCGTTGGTGACGCACACCTTTAATCCCAGCACTCAGGAGGCAGAGGCAGGAGGATCTCTGTGAGTTTGAGGACAGCCTGGTCTGTTCTACAGAATAAGTTCCAGGACAGCCTCCAAAACAATACAGAGAAACCCTGTCTCAAAAAACCAAAAAAAAAAAAAAAAAAAAAAAAAAAGACAAAAGGAAAAAAAAGGAGTAGAAAGATGCCCTATTACCTATTACTGCCTCATAATTTAGCCCTACTCTACTTAGAAAGGTCATTTCATTTATTTGGCAGTTAGTAAAAGGTGGCCTGACAGAAAAACACAGAGGACATTGACAACCTACTCAAACCATTACTCTGGTCTGTGTGAGAGCCGAAGTTACATTGTAAGTTTTAATTACTATGCCCTAGAGGTCTATGAAACAGAAATGCCCAAGGACAGACAGTCCCTGAAATGCTGCAGGCTGTTGTTTATGAGAGATAATAGCCACAAGCTCTTCACTCCCCTAAACAAGTTCATTTGACCCCTATCCTCACAGGTAGGAAATAGGTCAGGATGTATGCTTGCCCCTGATTGGACCCGATGGGAAATACAATGATTGTGAGTTTTCCTTCTTAAGCCACTGCAAACTGTGACTCCGGGGCCATTTCCCAGGAATCTGGGTATGGACCTGGCCAGAGCCCATCCACCTGGCCAGTATTTAATTAAAACTTGCTTCAGATTTGGTGGTAGTGGTCTTATTCTCCAACGGTGGGATTTACAACTGGCCAAATGGTTCCAGTGGGTAGCAGCCACTATTCTTTTAACAAAAGAAAGCAAGAAACCAACCTTTGAGGGAAGATTCCTACTTTAGCACTCCCCATCAAAGTATGGGCTATCTCATACCAAAGGGTGAGGAGATGGCTCACAGGTGCTCAGATCTTCAAGAATGGAGTTGTCCTACTAGAAAGAGATGACTTGACTCTGATGAGTCCTCGGGTGCAACCCAACTTTCTGTTGGCTGTCATAAGACTGTAAATGAAATTGAGCACCATTATTTGCACAGAATAGAATCCAAACTAAGGTCCTGTTTGACCTAAGAGAAATTTGCTTTAATACTGAACTTGGGGGACAGGCTGGAGAGATGGTTCAGCACGTAAGAGCACTGGCTGCTCTTTCAAAGGACCCAGGTTCAGTTCCCAGCACCCACAATGACTCAAAGCCACCTATAACTCCTGTTCCGGAAGATCTGATGCCTTCTGACCTCCGCAAGGTCCAAGCACACACTTGGTGAACAAGCATGGGTGCAAGGCAAAACATTCATTTAATAATAATAAATAAATAAAGTATGTGTGTGTGTGTGTGTGTGTGTGTGTGTGTGTGTGTCCAAGGGGAAGATGCTACTGAAATCAAGGGGGGCAGTCTATCAGGGAACAACCTGAATTTGCTGAAAAGGCCACTTAACAGACATGTCCCTTTTTTTTTGGTTTTCAAACAGGGTTTCTCTGTGGCTTTGGAGGCTGTCCTGGAACTCACTCTGTAGACCAGGGTGGTCTCTAACTCACAGAGATCCGCCTCTGCCTCCCCAGTGCTGGGATTAAAGGTGTGGGCCACACACACCCCAGGGACATATATTTTTTCTACCTTACCTCCATTACGCCCCCTACCCCAAGTTCTCTGCGCTGCTATTTACCCACAAGGAAAAGCAGCAAGGTAGGGCCTCCAAAATGAGGATGGGGAGGGGGTTCTAGGGAGATGACTCGGCGGCTAAGAGACTTACTGCTCTCGCAGAGGGTACAGGCTCAATTCTCAACACTCACAACTGCCTGTAATTCCATCTGGCCAGAAACTTCTGGATTTCAAGGGCATGTAATTTGAAAATAAATCATTAAAGTAAGAAAAGATAGGAGGTAGCTCTTACAAGACAGACAGAAAACGCTACTTAAACCCCATGTGTGTGAATCATTGCATCAGGCACAGGAGGGCAGTCATTGGGACCCCCAAGTGATATGTGATGCTCCCTTAGAATTTGTGGGTACCCAGACCTTTACATCATAGCTAAAGAAGTCCAAGGGTTCCACACTTGCGCTAACATAAATAAGCAAGCTTTGAGAGCCCAGCCTTCTGGGAGAAGGAACCCAGAGCTAAGGCCTTTTCAGACAGTACAGTTGACTTTATGGAAATGCTGAAAGTTGGCCACTTACAATATTACTGGTAATAACAACTCACTGGAATGAGGCTATACCTCTACCTGGGGCTACTCCTGATAATGTAGTCAAAATACCTTTATAACGTCATTCCCCGACAGCCATTGTCAGAGACCCACCCAGGCTCTTGCAATGAGTAGGGACTGTCATCCTCTGGCACCCGCCCCTCCTCTGGTAGAGGAGTGCCTTAGTCACTGTTCTATCAATGTGAAGAGACACCATGACCCACAGTTCCTGTACGAGAGGAAGCCTGTAACTGGGGGCTGGCTTACAGTTTCAGAGGTTCAGTCTATCATCGTCATGGCAGGGAGCGTGATGGCATGCGTGGTGCTTGAGAGGTAGCTGAGAGCTGCTTCTTCATCTGCGGGCAGGCAGAGCATCTTTGAAACCCCAAAGCCCACCCCCACCCCCAGTGACCGCTTTTGACAGCAAAGCCACACCTCCTAATCCTTCTAAAATAGTGCCAATCTCTGATGACCAAGCATTCAAGTAAATGGGCCTGTGGGTGTCGTTCTTATTCAAACCTCCACCAGGAGGAAGGATGAATCAAGTACTTAAGATGGCCTTTGGCCAAAGTTATACAAAATAACCCTGACAAGATGTCTCCCCATTGCCCTCCTAAAACTGTTCCCCTTGAAGGGACACAGAACCATCACCACAGGACTTGCTTTACCATTTACCCTACTGAATCCTACTAGAGGTCCCCATCCTCTAAAACCAAGGACCAGTGCCTCAGGAACTATGCCCTTGGGTTGTTTTCGACTCTGCCCTCTCTTGGGTAGCAGGGACTATCAGCCCAGGCAACACTGCTCAAGTTTACGGCCCAGAAGCACCAGCCAGGCAGCTATGTCCTGGTCAAATTCCAGAGAGAAGGAAGCCGAACCCATCTGGGGAGGACCCAGTCAAGTCCCGCCCTCTAC